CTCAATACCTTCTCCATGATTGTTTCTTCAGAAAGAGTTTCTCCACACGCCTTCATCTCATTAGTGATCAGAATCACTCTGGAGATGTATTCAGAAACTTTCTCATTATTCTTCATGTTGAGATTCTCATATTGCTTTCTCAAGGACTGAAGCTTCACCTTCTTCACTGATGCGTCACCACCATAACATCTCACCAGAGTGTCCCATGCAGCCTTTGCTGTTGTAGAGTCTGCAATCTTCTCAAACACGTTTACATCCACACATTGATGAATAAAGAACAATGCTTTCTGATCCTTCTTCCTTACTTCCTTTTGCGCGTTTTTCTGTTCATTGGTTGCATCTGCTGCTACTGGAACATAACCATCAGTGACAAGATCTAGAACATCTTGAGCACCAAATAGTACACGCATTTGGATCATCCAACGATTCCAGTTTTTACCATCAAATACTGGAAGTTTGGTGTTCATGTTGCCGTTTCCGTTCATCTTCTACTTTGCACAATACACTCAGATTTCTCACACAGTGTTTCCCAACCCACAGAATAAAATTCTGATCAGATTTTGTTCAAGATTCAACACGAATCTAAGAATCAAAATCAAACACACAAGACCTCACGTTCACTCGTGTTTCCCGTGTTTCCCAATGAATCTGAACCGGAGCTCTAGATACCAATTGTTGGTGCAAAGATAGAATAAATGATGAAAATAGGGAAATATTCTATTAAAGAGAATGACGGCAGAAGAAAACAGGATTAAGAGTTACAATGATTGTCACCCTATTTATAGGCTAAAACTAGGGTTACTAGAATAAGATAAAATACTGAAATGCCCTCTAACAAACTTATGGGCTTAAGAAAATAATATAATAAAATATGAATTATTACTAATAGTGATATTGGATGTGAAAAATAAAGAGAGAGTATCTACTTCGATGTTAAAGTAAGAAAATGAACAAAAGACAGATTAAATACAAAATATGAGTGTTTCAGAATGAATATCTCAAATAAGAGGATTTTTGTAATGCCCCCAGCGTTTGACCATTGATTCCTATTTTCGAGACGAGATAACAATTTCCCGAATAATAGATAACTGTCAGAACTATTCGTTAGGACGGGCATACATGTTTATAACTAACCGTTGGCATGAACAGAGGAGTAGTTACGGACACGAGCATCTTAGCTGTTTCTAAATAGTAGAACCGTGCGTGACGGACAGAGACTGACGAGAACAAGTGTTGTGACCAAAAATAAATTGGTCAATCTCCCCTATTAGAGGGGCAAAAAGGTAAACTCTTCTCCCAAAGTGATTGGACTTAGTAAATTAGATTATTCTGAGATCAGAAGTGGATTAGGTCATGTTTAACTATTGAGTCAGTCCAAAATAAAGAATGTCCAAAGCATTAAGATTATTGATTCAAGAACATTCATAAATTTATTATCTATTTTCTCAATGTGTTTTAAAATTTTCGTTATTACTTACCTAAAAACTTTTTTGTTATAGATCCAAAATATTTTTATATTCTTTGATAAAACAACATGTAGTAAATCATGAGGCTATATACATGCTCATATTTTTACTTCCACATTAAAATATAGTTATCTTTTTAATTTTTTTATTGAACATACCTTCTATAGATTAATTGTTAATGTTAAAAATCAATTCAATTTTTGTATTTTTACTTCCACATTAAAGTATAATTTTTGAGCTAAACATATACTTTACCACTTTATGTGTAACTCTTTTACTCCATTTCTAGTTGTAACTAAAAATCAATTCAATTTGGGTACTCAGAACCTCTTACAAAAGGTAAAATCCCAATGATATGGGTACACTATTTTCAAAGCTGTGCAACCTATTCTTATCCAACAAAGCCACACAAACGCTCATAAACATTCTCCACCACTCACCACATTCCGACAGCAACATGGAACTAGAACCTATACTTCACCGAACAGTAACAGCCAATGGCATAAACATACACATAGCTGAAAAGGGTCAAGGTCCATTAATCCTCTTCATCCATGGCTTCCCTGACCTATGGTATTCATGGCGCCACCAGATCACTTTTCTATCTTCCCGCGGCTACCGCTGTGTGGCCCTAGACCTCCGTGGATACGGAGACACCGGTATCCCTACCTCACCAACATCCTACACTAGCCTCCATGTCGTGGGTGACATCATCGGACTTCTTGACACCATTGCTGCTGATCAAGAGAAAGTGTTTGTTGTGGCTCATGATTGGGGTGCAGTTACAGCTTGGTATCTTTCCCTTTATCGCCCTGAAAGAATCAAAGCTCTTGTTAACTTGAGTGTTGCTTTTACTCCAAGAAACCCCAAAAGAAAGCCTCTTGATACCCTTAGAGCTGTCTATGGTAATGACTACTATATCAACAGATTTCAGGTATATTCCATCATGTCTATATGTATACACTAGCGTTCAGACGCGTGCTAGTTTGGACGCTAGTATAATTTTTGGATTGGTGTAGTTATTTTGGTATAAAGAGTTATATTGTTCTAAGTGGTGGTTTATGTGAGTTGCGATATTATAGGAGCCTGGTGATATAGAACAAGAGTTTGCGGAGATTGGCACTGAAAGAGTCTTGAAGGAATTTTTCACATACCGTAATCCTGGTCCACTTTATTTACCTAAGGGTAAAGGTTTTGGACATCCAAATGATTCTCCTATAGTGTTGCCTCCATGGTTATCCGAAGAAGAATGCAAATACTATGCTTCCAAATTTGACAAAACTGGCTTCACAGGAGCATTGAATTACTACAGAAATATAGATCTGTATGTTTATTATCTTCAACTCTTTTTGTTGGTGCTTCATAGATTTTTTAAGCGAAGGGAACTAATTTATCTTAATGTTTTTCTTGTGTTTGTAGAAACTGGGAGCTTACTGCTCCATGGACGGGTGCTAAAGTGAAAGTTCCGGTTAAGTTTATTGTGGGTGATCTTGACCTGACCTATAATGCGCCGGGCGCGAAAGACTACATTCACAACGGTGGGTTGAAGAGAGATGTGCCACTTCTTGAGGATGTGGTTGTGATTGAAGGGGCAGGGCACTTCCTCCATCAAGAAAGGGCTGATGAGATTAACAAACATATCTATGATTTCTTCAAAAAATACTAATTTGCTGTTTTGGTGCTGTTGGAATGTGTCTATTTGTTCCTGCTCTGCTTGCATCTTTTGTGTTTATGAACTCCTCAAGCTGAGGTCTTATTAAGTGTGATATGAATAATGCCATTGTACATGTTTATGAACTCTTGGGTGATACGAGAATAATGCATTGGCAATGTGCATGCTTCTGAACTCTTATGCTCGAGTACTGATAACATTAAAGAGTCATATGAATGATTATGATGCGTTTTTAAGAGATGAGAAAGCCACCCGTGATAAATATTACCATGTTTTTAAGTTCACATATGTCTAAAATAGAATTGTGTTAACAAAAATTTTCTCTAACACACTTATTATTTGTTAAAATTTGTTACATGCCGTTAAATTTTTGTAAGATTTTGAAATTAATTTAAATTGCTATCAATTAAAATGAGCCTAGTACCTTTACCCTGACTCTGAAGTTTTGATTAACTAATTTTCCTTAGAGAAAGTCACTGGTGACCAAATTCCAAAATCGACATGTTTTACCATAAGACCCATTACCGCTCAAACGGGTTGGTAAGGAGATGGACCGACATCAAAATGGTTGGGTTAGGTATGATGCTAAGGAGGGAGACGATGAGATTGAGGTGCATGGCAAACTTCTTTTGAGATTTCAATAGGTGGATCAAAGGCAACACAAGAAAGAGGAACACCAATGTTCCGCATGCTGAACTATGGAACATGTATCTTAGTTTTGATATGGCTTGGAGAAGAATATCACACATCTTACCGTTGAAAGTGACTTAAATTCTTCTCAACATAATTGCTAATAATTGCACATGTGGTGGGACTATTACTACTAATTTGGTCTGCCATTTACAAAAGCAAGTAAGATTCTGGACAGTAACAATAATGCCTGGTTCTGCAGAGTCACAATAATACTGCATTCACGCATTCAGAATGTTGATAGTAGTTCGAAACGGTCCAAAAAAATATACATTTCAAAATTTGCTTTAATAATTTAAATTAATATTAAATTTGAATTTAAATCATTTGATTGAATACAAATATTCCAAACATGTGAAATGTGACAGTAGAAAATTTTGGAAAAAAAAAATGCATGCAAACAAAGTGTTTTGAAGACCAAAAGCTTTTAAATTTGAACTGAAATGTCAGGAGTAGTAGTCATATCTGACATGAATGCCAATGAATCTTCATGTTTTGAAGACTCTTTTTAAATTAGCTTCAAAGTCTTTTTTTTTTTAATCTTTGGGCTTTGTACACAATTTTACTTTTAAAAATATAATTTTGAAATGGTTAACTAACTAATAGAAAATGCTAACTTGTGCAGTAAGATACAAATTAAGAAATTAAATGTAAAAAAATTGTTTTGTAAGCTGTACATTGACTTGCTTTAAAAAAATGAAAATTTTACACAATTTTATTAGTACTTAAATGCATTTTGATTCTTCTATTTTGTTTAAAATTCTTTTTTGAAACCAGATTTCTTGGGCATTTTTTACAACATGAGATGTATATGATCCCATCCATTTTTTATGACCCTTTAATTATGTAATACTCACATAATTCTCTTTTCAAGATAAAAATGGCTACTTATGTACTGCGGCTATATACTATCTATTATTCCAATATTCAATCATCATAAATTAGGTGGTGTCTTATTGAGCGCATCACAGTAATTATTTTGGATAATACAATTACTTGTCACCATTTTCATGATGCTTAAAATAGCAATTCCACTGAGATTAAGAGTGTACCAATTTACCACCTATTCTAGTTCTATGAAATAAAAACAACCTGATACCAATTCCAAATGATGGAGTTTTTATGATGTATTCTTCCCTTTTGTTTCTCCTTGGCAAGAGATACCAATATCATTAGTTTCCGGATATTTTTCGATTTTCGACATTAAACTCCACATCCACGAGGTCTGTAATACCTGCAGTAATTTTTTGACCTTCTTTCACAGGGCCAACTCCTGGGGGAGTGCCTGCAAATCATCATAACCAATGTTAGTAACTAGACATCGTGTAGTGTGTGCATTATATTTAATCTATGAAGGAAACTGATTAATTGCATAACATGTCTACATGGCCGGCTCAACTCAAACTCTCAAAGTAAGTCAAATTAAGTTAAGCTAAAGCTCTGCTAACTTAACTGAGAAATCAAAACTTTTCTAAGTTCAACTTAGCTAGTCACAAGCTATTTTCAGCTTAATGAATCAACAAGAATCCACATATTAATTGAATATTTTTGGCTCCAATTTGTAGCTTCATAGTAAAATTTTTAACTTCATAGTAAAATCATTTTATAAACAATTAGTAAAACAATAAGTCAAATATTTGAAAACTAAAGTTTAGCTTATATTTAAAAAGAAGACATTGTTCTCAATTCGTTCAACTGTTTAAGTGATATTGATATGAGCTGCCTAGTAAGCACCCGAACTAACTTGAAACATTTACAGCCTCATCCCCAAACATGATTTTGAAGCAAATAAGGAAATCCAAGATTACCCCGAATAGAGGTGGCAACTGGCAATCTCTTCATTGTTATTTAATTGAAATGAAAAGAAAAAAAATCATTAACAGTTCCAAACTTTATTTTTCTTTTCCAAGAATGGTTTTGGGGAGAAGGGAGTTTGCCCCTTTTCAAGAGCACAAGCCATAAGGCTTTTCAAGGCTCATAGCAGAACACACATATTCCATAAACTACAAATAAGTGTCTACCAACAGTTACAGAGGTCGAGAATCTCAAGACCTCTTACCAGTCGTACTCATCCAATCATTTAAACCAACACTTGATGGCCCAAATGATAGTTTAAATACCAGACAATATGCCAAGACAACTGAAGATATTTATTATCTAAAATATATCACAAATATAAATACGTAGATGAAGTATCAACGTAGTACCAGTTAGAATGACATCTCCTTCAAACAATGTCATCAAAGAGCTTATGTGGCTAATTAGAAATGGAAGTTTGAATATCATGTCCTTAGTTGAGCCCTTCTGCCTAATTTCCCCATCCACCTACAACAAAAGCAAACCCATCTCTCTGCAATTAGTTTAGGTATCAATTGCATTACTGAAACAATGTATAATCAATACTAACAGAACTGAGTATTGAAGGAAAAGTACAAAAAAAAAACTCAAACCTTAATCCATAATTCTAGGTCATCAGGGTTTGGTACAGAAGTCTTGGGCAACTGCATATATAATTAAAAAATTCAGTACACTAGAAGACTATAACTTATAAATATTTAGACAGCAACAACAAGTAAGCCTTATCCCACTAAGTGGGTCAGCTTAAACTTGCAACCAAGAGGATTTGAATTCAGGTTTTGTTCTCATATCAATAATATCTATAGTGAACAGTGGCCCGTTGCTTGAAGAAATATTGGTTTTGATTGAAAGAAGAATGGGTAATTGAATTAAAAACCTTAAATACTATATGCATAGGAAGCTAAAACAATTTATGCTAATCATTTTATTTTGCAAAAATAACGGATAGGAACTTGGGTATTATGGGGTGTTCAAGTCCCAAATCAAGTGCTTGATACTTATTGGATACACAACACAAATTTTGGAGCAAATTTATATTATCATTATATGTAGTTCTTCAATCCTTACAACTATCTAAGACAGTGATATCATTTCTTTAATATTTCATTTGTAAAATAGTTTAAGCATATAATAAGCATCATAGCATGCACTTTCTTACAATGGGACTAATTGGTGTGAAAGTGTCCTGGCCTTTTGAGACAGTCCATGGAAGACCTGCAGACTAACAACAAAAGGGAAAAAGAAACCACACCAAGTATTAGATCATGAAAAAATCAGGTCTAAATCACCTTAAAAATTATTAAACAGAAAAACATGATACATCGCCAAAGCAAAAAGGAACTATGACAGAAAGAAACCAATTCATCCTTTTTTGCAGCCCTGTAGTTCAAGTCCAATTGTTACATAGTTCTTTTCCCTTAGACAGATGTCAGACACATTTGTTTTAATAAATCAACAATTGCCTGACTCTTTCCTGATCGCTCTTGCAAATGCAAGCTAACATTGCTTACAATAAATAAGCAATTAGTTCAATCATTTTCTGAACCCTACAATACTGGAGCTTTATAGCACCAGCTTGAAAATATTATTTGAGAAAACATTTTACATTGGTGTACTTTCCACTGTAACGTCTTCTCCGGTGTTTAGCTTAACCGTTAGAGGATTCCTAGTCAATTGTCACCTATGTATTTGAATAGGGATAGAGTAGCAAAATTTAAAATCAATAATGTTCTACCATACTCAATTGAGTACAAAATGTTGTCAAATAGTATCTGTAGCAACGCTATAGCCCGCTTGTGTAGCAGAATTTGAACAAATCGCTATTGACAACGCTGATTGTCACAAGTCTATACATACGGTAAAGGAGTGCTTCATTCAACAATTCCTACCATCATATCTATGAAGCACGGACATCCAGAACACAACTCGGACACCGACACGACAACACCGGTAACAATTTGAAAAAAGAATAGTCCGTGCACCATTTCTCATAGTGTCCTGGCCACATAGCATCATATTCATCCTTAAGATTTAAACTTCATAGAGAAAGATACCTTAGCAGCCGATTGAAGGTCCCTGGCAGTCATATCAAGTGCGAGTGCATAACCTAATATATATAACAATCAAGATAATATATTCAATTTAACAGAAATCGAAACAAATAAGAGAACAATGCCAATTTCAAGTTTGACAAAAAGGAACGAAGTAGAAAGAAATAAATACCGGCAACGTAATCCATGGCAGATGATTCAGGAACATCACGAGCTTTCTTACCGATGACTACGGCGAGTTCGACCTCGTGATGAAGAGAACTCTCGTTGTGTGGAATTTGGATTGTTCCGCCATTTCTCAAGTAAGAAGACGTTGGTTTCATAAACAACACCGGTGCCTGAAAATTACTCAGATCAGTTTTTGAAATTTGAGGAGTGAATGGATTGTTTGATTTCGATTTCGTGAAAAGACCAACGAAAATGAAAGAGTGCGATGTGACCGTGGGAACGGCGTTGCCTAGTTCTTTAGCATGTGCGGCGTAGTTTCTACCAACGGCGATGATCTTTGTGCCCAATTCAAAAAGCTTCTGAACAGATGCCGTCGACATTTCTCTCTTCCAATGTCTCAACTCAATCACCCCCGTCACTATCCAAACGTACTTCCTTTCGCTAATTAAATTAAAATTAAAATTAAGGAAAAAAATTAAAATCAAAATTAAGTAAGTTTTTGTTTTTAAAATATCAATAAAATATTTATTATTTATTATTATTATATTATATTTCTACTATTAATTTTAAATCTAGTCCTGAGATGTAAGAGAATGAGTTTGTTGATGTGGTTTGTTACTTTCGATATAGTTGAGATGGAATAATTTGTAGTTAATAATTTGTAAGTTAATAAGAGAGTGAGAAGTGAAATTTGAATGATAAAAGATTTGAATATTTGAGAATAGTGCGGTCTCTTATTTAAACTGAAGAAAATCAGTTGGCAACCGAATGTGTATGATGAGGTGTATATTGCGGTCATCCATTAGATCAATTTGGACTATTGGAATAATGCTTACGAGGAAGATTGACAACTTAAAGGGGGGATGATGCCCATCTGCTATTGGTTGGACATTACTTCACGCAATTATTTGGCTTCCATATCTTTGGGTCCTGTGGACGGTCCATAATAATTTCTCCCAAACCTTTGTCTTTACTATTTGGGGTGAGGGTTTGCGAAATGTGTTCTGCACTGCATAGTATTCTAAGGAAATGGAGGTCTTTTATGGGACGTCGTTGTTCTTGCTAAAAAAAATATCAAAAGGTTGACTTCCTTATTACTAGTCAATGAGAGCCTAAAATGATTAGTTTTAAGTGTCTGTTATGTGTTTCTCCCTTGACTCCCCTTTTTTCGAAGACCAGAAATCTCCTATTTATATGGTTTGACTTCCCCGTCCTCCATTAATGTTCTCCGTTTCATATCCTTCATAAAGGTAACTTCATGTAATGTATGTCGCCACCATAATTGCCAAGTAACGTTTCTCCCTCAGTAATTGTAACTCTTGTGCAATTATGGAGTATTATGTAACCGTCCCTTGTGACTTTTCAGATTGTATCCTAGAACTGACATCGGAACCGACTTATATGTATGAAGTTGGCCCCGATGTGCTTATATTAGTGCTCCTAACCGGATTTTGACCTACTTTCCTCTTCATACGGGTTCATAACCGACGATGACCCCGGTTTATCTAGGTTCACAACTCGTACCATGGCAGCTTCTATCCCCAAATTTCACCTGAGTCATCCCTATTTCCTCTCTTTCTTCAGTAATGATGACTTTTATGGGAAATTGATCCTCTTCAGTAATTTGAAACACTTCATTTCTCAAAGTCGTTTTAAAAGGACTCCTTCCCTAATTAAAGCCATCTCTTCTTCTTCTAACTAATCATCAATTGGAATAATTCATTCCCTTCTTCAAAGCAATCTCAGAGCCTTCATCTGTTCTTTAGAATCAGGTATATTTGCTTTTTATCTCTATGTTTGCATTCTCTACTTTTAATCAATGACTGTTGCTCATGAATGTGACGATAATAGCATTGTATTAAGAACCTTAAGTATTCAAGAAAGGAAAAATATTTGAGACTTTTGTGTGAGAATTCATAGGGATACATTAAGTCAAGTTGACTTTGATCGTATTACAAAGTAGGGCTTACGATATATTTCCACCTCTTTTAGCGATTCTAATTTTGAATCTTCCTCATCAAGTTCGTAAGTAGAGGTGTTGATGGAGATTATTGACTCCTTTAATCCATAAGTGATTAGTTATAATCACAATTTCATCGATGAAATGAAGATGATGTCATTTTAGAGCCATGTATCCCAGGGGAACGTGTTTGTATAGTTCGTCACCATGGATTAAAATATCAGTATTTCCATTTTTACGTCGAGGTAATAGAGGATTTTAAAATCCATCTTCCCTTTACCGATTTTGAATCTGATCTGTTAAGAACCCTAAACACTGCCCCTTCCCAACTCAGTTCTAATAGCTGCGAGTTTATCAAGGCTTTCGAGATAGTTTGTGAGACCGTAAATATAGAGCCCACTATAGGCTTGTTTTTCTCCTTCTTTGAAATTAAGGATGTTGAGAAAAGGTGGATGAGCTATTGACATTAGCTAAGTGACCAAGAAATCAAGTCTTTAACCATATTAGATTCCTTTCATATGATGAAGGTCTGAGGTCTATTGACATTACCAGAAGAACAAGTTCTTCCCTTTTTGGGTAATACTAATTTATTTTCTTTTTGCGTTATTCATTGCACTACGCCTCATTCTCCTTATATTTTTCCTATATTTTTTGTAGAAAAGATGATTGACTTGTCTTTGAAGGAGCAGAAAAAATTGACGTTGGAAGCCCGGGCGGAGAGAAAAATAGCTAGCCAACTTACTGCTACGTCGGGCTTGTCCAGTTTAGAAATCTGGAGACTGAATAAGAGAAAGCTATCCCCAAGTAAAACAACTTTGAGTATTTCTAAGACCCACGCCTCCACCATTTCTCCACCGGAAGACTTCTATCTGAATTCCCCAAAGAAATTGAAAACTTTAATAAGTGATGAGGTTTGCAAATCCGACTGGGAAATTTCTTCCTTTATGTGAGAGGTTGGTGGTAAAGGTCAATCTAAACTATCTAATGAGTTTAAATTCTGAGGTAACAACTTTGACGGATTGAGATTCCACTATGATCATCTAAATACCATGGAAGATGTAAACAAGGCAAAGATAATAAGTCGGCAGAAATTGACCCAAAACATCAATTCCTATCTGATGAGGTGCATTGTCCTAACAAAAGGATTATTTGACTCCTGGGATGATTATGAGAAAAATGAAATTAAACTAACTCAGGAGATCACTCAGCTAAAGGAAAATTAGAAGATACAAATGGATAAAATATTCGACCTAGAGAAACAATTGTTGGATGAGAAATCAAGGAGGGGGAAATCGGAGGTTGAGAACTAGGAGATCACTCAGATCTAAAAGTGAATAATGCTCATAGAGATTGGAGAATGATTTTGTTATTTATTGTGGTGGTTTTTTATTTTCGATATGGTTGAGATGGAATAACTTGCAAGGTTAGCACTTTAATCTCAAGTCAGTAAGAATGTGAGAAGTGAAATTTGAATAATAAAAGATTTGAATACTTGATAATTGTGTGCTTTCTTCTTTAAATTGGAGAATTAGTTGTCAACCGAATGTGTATGATGAGGTGTATTATGGGGTCAATTGTTAGATAAATCTAGACTATTAGAACAATGCTTACGAGTAAGTTTGACAGCTCAAAGGGGGGATGACGCCCACCTGTTATTTGGTGTACATTACTCCACGCAATTATTTGTCTTCCGTATCTTTGGTCCATGTAGGTGTCCCGTAATAGTTATCGTCAATCCTTTGTCTCTACTATTTAGGGTGAGGGTCTGCAACATGTGTTTCTGCACTGCCAAGTATTCCGAGGAAGTGGAGGCCATTTATGGGACGTCGCCACTTTCAAGAAAGAACGTGTTAAATTCTTTCCTCGTAAGACATGTCATTGTGTTAGGAATGATTGACATGTATCCCTATGCTAGTTAGTAATGATGTCTCTCTTACCTTAGAGTGCTCGAGTTCCTTTCAAACTATTCTCGAGGGGATTTCAATTGTTGATAGTGCGAGTGATCTTATGAAATAGATGCTCAAATAGGGTTTATATATAAGGCTTTGAAAGTGTTATTTTATCTTTCTTGTTGTTGTTAACTTACAAATATTTCAGTTTCTTATATCATCCATTCCTAGAAGCGTTTTTCATTTTAGGGCAAGATCCAACTCAATAGATCTCGTGGGTTTGTGTTGGCCTTGCATGTTTGATTTCTCTTTCCTTTTAGTTCTAAATTTCAATGTTCTCCTTTTCTTTCATTCGACTTCTTAGGGTTCCTAAGATAGTGAGCGTTTGGGCATGTTGGTTTTCCACATCGTACTTGCACTTTTCGCAATATAGCTTAATTATGGTTATTATATCAAATTCGACTAAGAAGGCTGGTAAGGATATTTCAACAAATTGGGTGGATTCAGAGATACTAAACATTATTTCTTCCTTTGTTTGAGAAGAAGCATTCGACCAAGTAGTAACTGATGTGGTCCCTACGACTAATTGGGGAGTGTTTTCCCCAAACGAGGTATGTGCAATCCCTTCCCTTTAATAAGCTTGAAGTTGGTGTACTGAACCATCTACTTATTGCCTCTTTACAATTACATCAAGTAAGTTGGGTGTTCGTAAAAGTTTTTCAATGTTGGTGTGAATATAAGGGGAGTAAGTTTACCTTGATGTTGTTCTTCCACCTTTTCAAGACTCAAAATAACACAAACTATGTGAATTGCTCTAGTTTTCTTTCTTTGAGGCAGAGTATTAAATATTTTGAAGCTTATTTTGACAGTGTGAAACATTTCAAGGATCCCTATTTCCTGGTCTCTCCTCTTAATAAGGAGGTTCATGCAAAGACATGTCACTTAGAGCTTGATCGTTCGTTTGTGTGCACAGGCACCTTTCACAAATACTAGAATCAAAGCCATTACTTTATAAGATCGAGGATGTATTACTTTTGGGAAGAGGGACTGTTCTTGAAGAATTAGTTAGTGGCCTTCTTCTAGAAACTTGGCTATGTAGGTAGGTTTGCTCCCTCAAATTTGGTGTCTAGAAACCTGTTAAAAAGGTGAATTCAGAACCGTTGGATGGTGGATTCCAAATCAAACGATAAAAGAAAGAAAATCTTTGGTAAGTGGCCTCAAAGGTTTTGTTTTTCTGTTTTATCTTCTTGAATCCTCATTGATGCATACTTTCTTAACTGTGTACATACGGTGAAAAGTGAAGATGGCATGCAGCAACTCAAGAAGTTATTGGGTGTGAATATGAAAGTAGAAAAATGGTCTAAAGAGGGTGAAGATGCCCAAATTAAAATAATTAAAAACCGTCGTTTTCCAAAATCAGAGTGTTTAAAAAAATGAGTTGCAAACAGAAGATTTGATGCAAAAATGAAAATTATATAGTTTGAATATTGATCAAGTCAACACAAATCGTTTCAAAAATATCAAATATTATAATGACGAAATGCTCAATATGGATTGACTCAATTTCCTAAAGCACGAGAGGTGTTTGTACAATGATTCAATTGATGGAGTTCTAAGTTCAATTCGCTTTAAGATTATTAATTAGAAAACTAGCTTAACCAATTATCGAATATCAACTAAACCAAATTCTTATGTAATAAATCGCTATCAATGAACAAACGATATATACGACAAAATCAAATCAAGAGCAATCTATGATTTGAATCAAATAAGTAAGTGTAATGGAATAAAAGAATAACCGGATTTTGAAAATTTTGTCAGTTGATTTGAATCATGGAATGGGTGATTCAAATTAAATGTCATATGATTTAAATCATGTGTAAAAATTGATTCGAATCAAATGTCACAACCCTGAAAAATAATTTATTGAAAAAGTGAATAATTTGAATCATGTACAAAGTTTGATTCGAGTCAAATCAAACATAATTGGCCACCATAAAAATGATTTAGATCAAGTGCAAATATTGATTCGAATAAAATAACTAGGTTTCACTTATGTCTAATTGGTTCAGAATAAAAAATGAAGTGTAAACTGAATGATTCGAATCAATCGTGTAAAATCTCAATTTTTCAAATTTTTAAAGGCACTTTGAGATTTTACTTTGAATCAAACTTAAACCAAAAACACAAAATGTTTTCATTCAACTTACACATGCAATTGATCAAAGAACATCATGATCAAGAATCAAATATAACCAAAGTTTTATACATGCTAATAACAAATCTTTTCAAACTTGATTCTGAGAGGTGCAATCATGAAGAAGACTCAACAAATTGAAATAAAATCAAAGATAAAAGCGATAAGACAAGCAACAAAATAACCAGATATAGATGTTCTTTCTGAGTAAAGTAGGGACATGCTTGACAAACTTTCACTTGAAATTGAGTCGACTTTTGAGTATAACGCATATGATCCCCCTAAAACATTGCACACAAGCTACTCACGATATAAAAAATGTATAAAACAATTCTAAACTCACTACAAATTTTTTGAAAGGATTCCAATGACAATAGTTTTGTAAAATTGTCAACAAGTTGACTTTTAGTGTCAACATACTCAAAATAATATTAATATGTCAATATTAACCTTCTAAAAATTCAGATTTCAATCCCAAATATGCTACCATATGACTCTGTGCTGAAATTTTGTAAATGAAATTTTGGATTTGAGATTCATCTTCAAAGATGCATATTAATCTTCAAATCCAGATTCACCATCATTTTCAAACTTAGATTTACCATCTTCATCTTCCATCATCTCTAAAAACCCAGATTCACCACCATATTCATCTTTTATCATCTCTAAAAACTCAAAATCATTCGTCTCATCTTCACTATTTTTTGGTTAATTTTTCTGTTTTCTGAAAAAGTTTATGTTGTTGGTTTAAAACAATGAGCTTATAGATGCAATTTTGAGTTTGAGATCTATTTTAACACAATAAAATTTTATACTTTTTACTTTATTTCTGATACCTCATAGTAGTGATATTAAGTACGAGATTTGAAATCTAACTTTTTGACTTAAAGCTACAAGAAGTAATTTTGAAGAAATGAAGAAATAAATTTAAAAATCAGATTTAAGAAACCTGATGATGTAGTAGATAAAAATATGTGATGAATATGTATTTTGATTAATATTGAATAATAAAAATATGAAAAATGATGAAAATGTTAATGATTGATTAAAATTTTTGAAAGAAAAATAATTTTGAATGAGTGAAGAGTATAGATTAGTTGAAAAAATCCTAGAATAAAATCAACGAGTATTGATTAATTGAAAAATATGGAAAAAAATTATTTAAAATTAATTGATATAATTATTTTAACATGACCTGATTACATGCTGGTGTAGGTAAATAATACAACTTTTTCATAGTGGGAAAAAAATTGTTTGCCCCGGCTAAATGCTAAATTTTATGATTCTTTTAAATAACAATATTTTTTAACTTGAATTCTAAAATAATTGTCTTTTTCAATTATATATCAATTTACATGTTTTTCAAACAAAAATAATTTGCAAGAATGTGTGAGACTAATTGGCATGGCATATGTTTTCAAAATTACCTTAGATAAATAGATACTTCCATATAATAAAATAGTAAAAATGAATAAATAACAAGTATACTAAAATAGTAAAAATGAATAAATGTTAGACTAATTGAAACATACATATAACAAGTACACACTTTCATATAATAAAATAGTAAAAATGAATAAACATTAATGTTAGACTAATTCGCGCATATATATATATATATATATATATATATATATATATATATATATATATATATATATATATATATATATATATATATATATATATATATATATATATATATATATATATATATATATATATATATATATATATATATATATATATATATATATATATATATATATAACAAATGCATATAGATATTGATGCTCGGGAGAGCATGCTTATAGCTCTTATTCCTAGGCGTTTGAAAGAAAAAATATTCGATACTATGCATTTAGTTGGATAAATAAATTTAAAATTTAAGTTATTTTAAAATAAAATAATATTAAAACATAATATAATATTGAATATTTTCATTGAATAAAGATATATTCAATTAAATTCAAAGTTACACGAGGATTTAACTAATATATAATTACTTAAAAAAGAAAACTCCCATCTTAAAATTATTCATTTAACTCGAACGCCAACAAATGCCACCTTTTGTAATTTACTGAGTGTATTGTTTCATAGTCAATTATTTATCAAATTTTTTTAATCAAACTCTTGCGGTTTAAAGGTCATAAACTGTACCAAAAGTGTTCCAGGAGTATGTTAACTAGTTTTGCAGATTTCCATTATTTGATAGAATCATAGAATGCATTTTCATGATGTCCTGTCTTTTTACATTTTTTTTCTAGGTCTAGTTTTTACTTTTTCTTTTAATCATCCATTTTGTAAAAAGAATAGCCAGTATATAAATAAATAAATGTTTCTATTTGAAAATCACAATCCCGCATTTGTTTATCAGGATAATTTTGTAAGTTATGATCCGTTAACCTTGATCAATTTAAGTGATCCACTTCATTTATTTTGTTATTATGATGCTTCATATAAAACCATCCAAATTACAATTCCATTAAGTGTCCCTATCATCAAATTTCATCTCAAATGCAACATTAGTAACTCCGGATTTTCAATTAATTTTTTCCACTCGTTGCAAAATCTTGCAACAGTTGCTCCATCCAAAACTCTATGATCTGCACCAATATTAACCTGAAAGCAGAAAAATAATCAGATAATGCAGTTTATTTCCCCTTCTAACCTACTCAGAAATCATATATAAAGAATAACAGCATTAATTAATAAATAAACAATAATCATTGGAGCTCATTGTCGTTCCTTTCAAATTTTGGTTTTTGACTTGTTCATACATCCAGTTAATGAATGGAAATATGCAAGACTTACCGTCATGAGTGATGCGGGATACACATTTCCGTCTTCAGTAAATCGCGGAAGTTTCTGAATTCGACCCATGGCAATAATGGAGACTTCAGGAAGATTAAGAAGCGGGGAACCAAATTTTCCGCCAATTGCTCCAATGTTGCTCAAAGTAATTGTCCCACCAGATATGTCCTCAGAAGTTAATTTGTTATCTGAAGCCAATTGTTGCAACCTTGCTAGCTCTTTGGTTATCTTTACAAACAAAGAAAATTGGATTGATAAGTACAGGTTCTATAATCTATGAGCATTTTACAGCACACAGCAATGTGCATATCTTTTAAGAATAATAAGATTGTGAACGAACCTCCAATATGGAAAGAGACTGAACATTTTTTATATTTGGCACAACTAAACCATGTGGTGTTGCCATGGCGATTCCGATGTTATGCGAACCTATAGCAAATCAACCTATTGTGTCAAATTTAACTGGTAAGATAACATCAAATTAAAGCCACCATTCCAGAATTCAATAATCACTATTTGGAAAAAGATTCGACATCAACTACCTTTTTAAAGTCCACAAGTAGCATGAAAACAACATAAAATATATATTGAAACTATGTAAATATTATGCTCGTGAATCCTGTGATTAAGATGCTGAAAAACATTTCTCAAACACTTAAGTTGATGTGCAAGATATCAACATATACACTAACACAATAGTTCAATTTGAAAGTTAAATTGCATAAACAACTAGGATAAGAAACTAGGCTATAATGAACGCAACCTGTTTAACCTCACCGTGATTTTTAAGCAATAGTTTCCTTTTTTCTTGAATACATATTTTGACAGAGAGAAACCTTATAGTTTAATATACTAAAACTCAAAACAATCAAGCTTCAAGAAAGGGCAACCAAATTTTATCAATCATTCATCCAATTATGTGTAAGAATCAAACCTTTGAGTATGACTTCAAATGCATCCTCTTTGAAGCAGCTGTTCACAGAGGGATACTTGATGAGGGCCATTGATAGTGACTTGATTAGCATTGGAAGGAAAGTGTGCTTGACATCTGGATAAGGATTATTCTTTTGAAAAGAAGTTTTAAGCTCCACTAGGGCATCACAGATTATCTCGTCTACATAATGAAAATGTGGGACTTTGGCAGCCAGAGACATTGATTTTACCATCGCTCTTTGGAATCCCCTACATAAAGAAAAGAAAAGAAATATCATTAACCTTCTCATGACCAAGTTCTATATAATTCAATTCCTTCAACTGAGAGTAAAGGAAAATACCTTTATACTATTGCAAGTTCGCAACACTTACGTTCATCACAATTTAATAAAAGTTAACAAATGACTAACATCCATCCATCACCTTCTCATAAGAACAAGTACAGAGCTTGTTTGATGGTCAGAAAATGATAGAGATGGATATGATAAGTGAGCCGAATAAGTATCCGATATGATATGAACATGATAAGGTCTTATTCATATTTTGTTTTTGATGTGCATCAGACATCCTAACATGATGGATTTGAACTCAGCCTCACCTCTAGGATAAGATTTTAACTAGAATGACAAGATCAGTTAAGGTGACATGACTAGCTTATCATATCCTCTCGAGTCTCGACTCATCAAACACTACTACTAGATTGAGACAGAAAATGATAGTATATCTTATCTAGTTGTTCATATTCTGATCATCAAATGGACCCAAAAGGGTTCAAATTCATGTTTGCATTCAATTTTACCTGAGGGGGAGTATCGTGTCCTCAGAAGGCTTATCATATTTTTTTCTCGCATCACAGCCACGTTCTTCTGCTCCATCGAGCTGTTCTACAAAATCGGCATGCAAAACTGCAGATGGAGTTTTACTGATTCCTTTGTTGACAGCAAATTTGAGCACATCTTCTTTTAAAACCCTTCCATCTCTTCCAGTTCCACACACATCATTTATATCTATACCATGCTCCTTTGCTAGATTCCTTACAGCAGGTGTTGATAGAACTCCAGCTTGTTTCCCCTTTCCGTTATCAGAATTTAGTTGCTTTACATTTTCTGAGTCGGCTAAATTTCCTGTAGTAAATGCAGATTCATCGACAGATATCTGGTCAGAATCAGAATCAGATGACTTTGCATTTTCTGAGGCACCAAGACTCGTTGAAGAACATGCAGGCTCATCAATTAATATCTTCAAAAGGGTTGCTCCAACCTGACATTATATCAAAAGAAGCTTAAACATATCTGATAGAAATAATGTATTGTTATTGTGAACAAAAGGAATGCACAAAGAGATATCCAGAACTCCATCATATGCCATTTCAAACTCAGAATCCTTCAAACATGTTTAAAAATACAACACAAAATTAAGTCTAATCTTAAATGCCGTATGTCGTAACCAAATTCTCCTAACCCCTCTTACAATGCATCCTAACAATTCTAAATTGCAACTATAAGCATCACCTAACCAAACCATACCCACATTATGAGTATTCATATCTCACCTTTACAATGTCACCAGGAACATGAAGAATATTACAAACTTTTCCTTTATACCGACTCGTGATTTCTATAGTAGCTTTATCACTTTGAACCTCGCACAGTGGTTGAAAATCTTCAACAAAATCACCCTGCCATTACAATCAATCATCCATCATCAATCATGAAATTCGAATAAAAAATGCATATATCAAATCAAACCAAATCAAATCACTCTTAAACTCACCTCTTGAACATACCACTTGAGAAGTTCACATTCTGCAATACCTTCCCCAGTCTGTGCCAAAGGGATTTCAACTATGTTCCCCACACGAACGTTCAAAACAGGAGGAGCAGAAAAGCAATATCCCTTAACATGCTTAAAATTGAACTACAAAACACAAATTCAACAATCGATCCATGAAAATTTCATCAAATTCATAACTAAAAAAAAAAAAAAAAACTCACATCTATGCGAGAATTAGCTTTAGCGGATAGGACCGATCGCGAAAGAGAGGAATAGTAAGCGGAGGAGGAGGCAGAAGAGAAACTCTGGGAATGGGAAGGACGGAACAATCTCCGGCCGTAGATCAAAGCTCTTCTCGGCGAAATCCGGTTGATAAGCATGATTGCAACGATGAAGCGTTATGTGTATGTTTAATTGTGTTGTTGATGTGGTGGTGAAAACAAGGGAATTTGAAGAGAAGAAAGAGACGTTTGAAAGTGAAAGAAGAAACTCTTATATGCTGATTTTTGGATGGAGATTTGGAGTGAAGAGAGCGTTGCATGCTGACAATTTGTTGAGTTGTAAATTTGTAATAATGGATAGTTTGTTCAAACTCAGCATGGGATGGATAGATAAGGACTCATTAAAATATTAACTAACTTATCTTCTTCGGAAACAAATCCCCTCCATCATTGATTTGATATTAATAGTTTAATCTTCTTTTACTTTTTTTTTCTCTTTCCTGTTATTAGATTGAGTTAATGGCTTGGATTGAAGCAAAATAGAAAGCAGCAGAGACACCTAATAGGAGAGGATCCAGATTCATCATCTTCGGATGGGATCACCAGAATTTACCTTAAATACGTACAAATCTCAACGTTCCAAAAGGGGAAAAAATACATATTTCAAAGGGATTTTGTCCGGCACACCTTCTATTTTTTACAATGCCGAAAATATTTCCTAGTTTAAGTTAAAAAAAGTGGTATTATTGAAAAAAAATTGTAGGTCATCATAAAAGTTCATTTTTATTAGATTTTGTAAAAGAAACGATGCATGAAATAATGTTTTATTTTATAGAAAAAATATCATGGACTATAGGAGTTTTTTTAAATGGTGAAAAATTTGACTGTGTTATCAGTTTTTTTAAAAGTTCGTGCATTTATTAGATATTTAGAAGAACTATAAAATATTTAGTAGTTTGAATTTTCACAGTTAAGATTTTGCCGATAGTTTTGTACAATTGTAATTGCATCGACAATTGTGTGTAGTCTATAATAAATTCAAACTTGTATAAATAGAGAACGTATATTGTCAAAACAAATATTTTAGAATGTATCAATACTTGTACATGACAGTTGTGTACTTCAACAGTGTGAAATCTCTTGTTGATTTTCGGCTTCTTGAGGACACCATTACTCTCAACGTTATGAGATTCAAATTGGATAATCTATTGCCCCACATTGAGAACAGAAAGGTTGGTAAGATCGAGTTTTGTGTACCATCGATTGATACCGAAGGAAAGGTGAAATACAACAACATTGAGTTGAAGATTGATGAAGATTTAAAGGTTAAATGGAGAACATATCATCGTAGACTAACAAAGAGACTGATCGAGTTTGATGCGATAAATGCTAAATTTGTTGATGATATAATCAAGATGTCGAAACGCCTAGAATCATCTAGTAATGTCTAAGTTTTGTTATTTATTATTGTTTTGTTAAGTTATGTTTGTTATTAATGTAATTGCATGTGTTAAGTTATCTTAATACCGAAATAATGAAATTTTAAATGGTTATATATAAACGGTTAAAGTTAAAAAGTCAGTAATATACAAAATATATACAAATAATACAAAAATAATAAAATCTACACAGCCTCTCCACGGGCTATGTGTGTTATCTATGATGTCAAAGTATAAACCTCACTATCTGAGTTTACCAAACCCATGAGGTTATTTGTAAGTATTGATATCATATGCAGACTCTGATGGTCAGCCACACCAGGTGGAGGCGAGGGAAGCGGTATTATGTCATCAGAAGACCCCTTAACATCGGAAGGTCCAACATCATCTATATGTTCAACAGGTGGTATGATGTTAGGGTGTGATACAATAAAGTACCACTCTAAGTAACCATCCACACACTGTTTAGGGAACTAAACCTCCACTACATGATCTATAATAGCACGGGTACAACTGAAAATACTAGACACAAATCGTATATCAATGCCCTCAATTGGAACAACAAAGACTAGTTGAGAGATGCCATGAGCATACCCAAATTGGCGTAGACACTTCTTAAGTAAGTGTCTAGCCATTAAGGTCTCTCATAATAGATAACCACAAAAGGGAAGTGTCATCAAACTCCCTATGCATTATATGGTCTGTGTAGGGTGTACAGATGACATTCTCTAAGGTCAGCACATCGATCCTCCTTATGTAATCCAGAAGACTGCCTGAATGTGAATGTTTGACCCTCCATCTCTTGGCCCATGGGGAGCCATTGGTGGTAGGACCATGTTGCACCCCAAAATTTGACCAACCTCTTTTCTTAATCTTTGGCTTATGTTTCATTGTTCTAGCATATTGCATTGCATAGCATTTTGCATTTACAGGGGATCAAGTGTTTGTTTGTGCACCACTCTAGGGGAAAATCTTTATTGGCTTCGAGCTCAAGCAAAGACACTGGTATAAACCATTAGAAGACTGTCAAGGGGTCCATAAGATCTTATCATGGGTGGGAGCATGAGATAGAAATTTGTTGAGTATCTCAAAGGTTGTGGTGGAGTGGAATGGTTACTCAGTTCATTTACATAATGCCTAGACAAGAAAGGAGAAATTAGGGTTTCAATTTTAATCAGGATAAAACTTGTTTCTTGAAGTAAACTTGTTTCCATATCCCTCTACATGTCCTAAGGTGTTTGAGGATGAGAGATTGATCATAAATTTTTATCAGAAGAGCTCCAATTGATCAGTTGATTGAAAATCAAGAGATTTGGAGAAAAGTCAACTGTGTAGCGAAAAAGTCAACTCCTAACTTTTTGAGGTCAAAATCATGATCCTTAAGTTCAATATGACCAATGGGTGGAATTTGAACAAGAAAAGTCAAGGAAATCATGAAAAATCAAAGGTTGTTGAAAGTTGCCATTTTTGGAATTAGGGTTTTAGAAACTTTCCATTTTTGGAAAGTTTTATGTTTGGAACATCCATCTTCAAAGCCATTTTTCTTCATGATAAAGGTTTCAAATGAACTTTTGGCCAACATCAAAGTTGTTCCTTGTATCTCAAGCTTTCTTTTGAGTACCAATTCATAGTCATATGATATTTGAAGCTCAAGTTATGATCAATCAAAGTTGGGGATTTCAATGATTTCAAAATGGTTAAGTTTGAACAGATTTTTTGCACCACTTTGCAAGCCAATTTTCATCACCTTCTTGATGTCAAATGAAACTTTGTCCCAAATGAAAGTTGTAGAGTGTGTTCCAAGCTTTCCAAAGAGTACAAGAAGTCCTCCATTAGATTTGAGAAACTCAAGTTATGGATGTGCAAAGTTGAGAAAAAATAAGACAAAATTCATAACTTAGAATTTTTCTAAGTTATTTGTGGACAGATTTTGTGGCATGATTTTCAACCCCAAATTTCATGGTCTTTCAATGATCCAATGGAACTTTCACCAACATGAAAGTTGTTCTACTCCATGCCCTCTTTACCAAGAACTCAAGTTTAGGGCAATTGGATTTTTGAGTGCCAAGATATCCTTGCTCAAAGTTGATGGTTTGGACTTGGTTTCAAGGCATAATCCTTATAAGGTTTTGGCATGATTTTTCAAAAGAGTCTTGCAGTTGTTTGACTCCCACATCATGCGCATGAGACTGAATTTTTCCCCACAAAACATTGCCCAAACAAGAGGAACAAAGCTTATACCAACCCATACACCATTTTGAAATTCTTGCCAAAAGAGGAAGAGACCACCACCCCTTCTTCTGCCCTTGTGCAGTCCCACCTGTTTTGCTCTCTCCACTGCAGAAAACAACAAAAGTGCAAGCATGCTCCTGTACTGTGTTTCTCTTCACCATTTGATCCCAACAACCATGAACATGTAGCATCTGGTCCATTGATCTTTCACCTCAGTAAAATTCCTCAAAACCCTCCTTTTCACATCCTATATAAGCCGAAGAACAGCTGAACCAAACCCTAGCCTCCATTTTGAAGAAATCCCAAACTTGCATTTTTGCTCTTCTTTGAGATATTCCCACGAAAACCACTCATTTCCTCACTTTTGTTTAACCCTTCATCACAAATTTATCATCTCAATACTTGGAAGCCATTTGCAAAGGGAAGGAGCTTCAAGTTTGTGCCTTTTGCTGCTAGCTTATTTTGGAGGCTGCAAGAGGTAAGTTATTTCCAAACCCCCTGTTTCATATGCATAGAAATCACTAAACATGTCTGAGTGTATTTGTATTCTTGGGATTGGTTAATTTTTTTGAAATGTTGATGTTTGTTTTATCATGACAAGGTTGTTTTATTTGTGTGCAATTTTCTTTCTGTTGAATATTTGTGAGGTTGCAGCCATAAAGGAAAATACTGAGTTTTTGTTGTTAGCTTAACATTATTATGGCAAGTTTTTCCTCTGTCCATGTGAATCATGTTTGGTATGTTGGTTTTGGCTGTCAAATCTTTGTGTTTGCTGCTTAGATGCCATTAGGATGGTGTGTGGTTACTACTTTCATGCAAGTATGAGGTTAAACACTTGTTGAATCTAGGTCTTGAGCTTTGTAATGTTGGAATTATCAAACTGTTTTTGAAAGAAAATTAACAGTCTTGAGTTTTCTTGGTTTAGTGGCTTGTTGTTGGACATTGTCATATTTGGTTGGTAGATTTTAACTTTGCTCCTAGCTAGATCAGTTTGGCTTGCATAGTGTACTTTGAGGGCTGTCTGTTTTTTTTTCTTTGGTTGCTGACAGATGTTTTTAAGTTTGGTTTTATCCATCCATAGTGAGATGCTTAGAGTGGTTAGCTCTTTTCATAGATGTCCTTACATTGTGGTGACAGTTTTGGTTCTGCTCAGCCTTAGGTTTTCCTTTAAGGCTTTTGAGGTTAGTTTGCAAGCCCTTTGTTGTTTAACATAGGATGGAGGTTTTAGTTTGGTGATATTCATGACTGTTATTAGAGCAGACTTATGTTGCTAGAGGTATTTTGCACATGATAAGAGATTGCTTTTTGGGGAGTGTGTTTTAAGGTGGAGTTGAGTAACCAGCTAAGAGTTGTCATAGAGTTTGAAGTTGTATGCCTCAGCCTGTGTTAATCCTTGGAGAAGGATCTGTCTGGCTAGCTAGTTAGTGTTTGGGGGCTGTGGACTGCTTAGTGTATTTGGCTTGCTGCAAACAGGAGGTTTGGTGAGTG